GGGAGGGCATGGTATTTGGGTGGGGGGGAGTAATCTGTGCAGGAGGACTGTTAATTGGGTGTTGTTCTCACCGTTCGTTTGCACATGTGGAAGAAGGGGAGTTTCCCGCCAAGGCCAACTGTCCAGCATTCCAACCTGATGATGATTTTTGAAGATGCCTCCCACCTGACAGTTGTGGTGATATATGATTGGACTATGGACTGGGGGTACCAAGGGGAGGGGAATGAATCATGTATTAACATCTATTGCTTTCATGCTCTTTTGCTCAGATCCAGCTTTGCTTAGCTTCTCATCGCTTATAATCAGTAAAAGTACATTTAATTCTGAAACATGGAGTTGAGTGAGTTCTTTCTTGGTTATTAAGTGAAGGAGCCGTGACAACATGCCAATTTGGTGAAAGAGAAATTGCTTTCAAAATTAATATTAAGGGAGATCGGAAATTTAAAGAAACTCTCTTGAGCACATTGTAAATAACTACAAAATGGCCAAGAGAAATCCTTCCAGGGTATCATTCTGATGATCAGAAGCCTCCCTAGCTTCTCATTTTCAATTAAACATGTGTCCTTGAGCTGGCCAAAAGGTGTACCAAGTGCTGAAGCGTGCATGGATATGAAAGAGTCATTACTGCTTTACTCTTCTCCCAGTAAAATATACTAGCAACATTCACTTTAAAAATGTCCTTGAATTTTTTTTGAAAATATACTGTTGGCTTAACCTCTGTCATGGATTATATCAAACAAGAAAGCAACCTAGGTTCCTTTCATTTCACCAAAGCATCTGGCACATATTGAAATGTTAAAATATGAAATGTTTAAATTGAAGATACTGTCACTAATGTAAACTTAAATTTGGCTTGAGATCAGGAAAATCCTTAAAATCGTTATTGACCTAATTGATTTCAAGTCACTATCCTAGCTTGCCTGCACTTTCCAGTAAAACATTTTTTCACCTATTTTTAAAGTAGCCTTTTAAAAAGATTTAAATATTCATGGTATCCGAATCCACCCTCGTGGAAATAAAACATCTTTTCTATTGAATATTGATATAAAATGTTATCATGACCTTAATGGAAATATATAATAACTTTCAAATGAAGTCACATACTAATGGCTCATACAATGTAAGCTGAGTGATTTTCCCCCAGAAATCAATTAATGATGCATGATAGAAATCTATAAGCAATTCAATTTATTAATGACATTTGATTGTATTGAAAAGGAACTGAAAAATAAACTAAAGCTGCTTATATATAAAATTCTAAAATTTATTGCCAATATCATGTGTGGATATTGACTTTGAAACAATTGCTAGATAATAAGGAAGATTTTTTAACATACACTGCTCCATTCCCATGCACCCCAATAGATGATCAAATACTTTTCACTTGGATGGAGAAACAACAGAGACTCAAAGCTTTGTGTGTTTGAAAAGGGGATGGCTTGAAATGGAGCAATGCTCCATTTCAAATCATCCCCTTTGCAAGCAGACAAAGCTTCATCTCCTCTGGGCAAAAAGTGTGCAGCAGAGCCAGGTGAAGGCAGAGGTGATTCCAATGGACCTCCCATTCTGTCTCACTATCTCTTGACTTGCCTGCAGCTGTGCTGAGTAGAAACCCATGTGGGACATTGGGATCATCTGCCTCCCCCATCCCCCTGCCTCTGCCTGCTGCCAGTGCCACCACGCAAGCCTCTTGCAAGCCTCCCATGAGTCAGGCAACCATGCAGCTCATCCAGATCACCTGTATTCTCCCCCCGCCTCTGCCTCCATCCTCGGATTTATCAGGATTTGCATTGCACTAAGGAGTCGTCGGGCTGCGGCTGTTGCCAGACACCGTTACCCCACACCTGCTCACTGCCTCTCATGCTGGCCATGCCCATCTCCCTTATTTTCAGAGTAGGGGTTATATTAGGCCCACCCCAAAAAATTAGGCTAAGGCTTGTTTTCAGGGTGGGTCTTATTTTTGGGGAAGTATGTATGTATGTANGACTTGTTCTCCAAGCAAGTTCATTTTGTTCCTTGTTCCAAGATCCCGTCCGCTAAATCCTTGGCTAAGTTGTTCATTACACATATCTATCGTCTACAGGGGGTACCGCACCGCATCATCTCAGATAGGGGGGTCCAATTTACCTCCTTGTTTTGGAAGGAGTTTCTGAAGTTAATAGGCTCCACCCAGGGCTTAAGCTCCGCCCATCACCCTCAAATTAATGGTGCCTGCGAGAGACCTAATTCTGTACTGGAACAATATCTCCGATGTTTCATCAATTATCAACAGGATAATTGGGTAGAATTGTTGCCTCATGCTGAGGTGGCATATAACAACTCGGTTCACATCAGCACAGGATTTACGCCCTTCAAGGTGGTGTACGGACATGATTTTGTGCCTATCCCTGAAATACCCCGCGAAAAACCGCAAGTGCTGTCCCTTTCTGAGTGGAGTGACCGCCTCCGGGAGATGTGGCCTTTGGCTTATGGGGCACTGGATGCTGCACACCAAGCACACAAGAAACAAGGAGATAAAAAGAGGGTGAAGCCAAAAGAGTATACAGTTGGTGATCGTGTATATTTATCCACCAAGTTTTTTCAGACCTCTCAAAAGTCTAAGAAATTGGGCCCCAAGTATGTTGGACCGTTCCCAATTATCAAGGTCATCAACCCTGTGTCCGTACATCTGGAACTGCCTAAATATCTCAACCGTGTCTACCCAGTGTTTCATGTTAATCTCCTAAAGCCAGAACGCACTTCTCTGTTGCGGGCTTCTTTGGTGGCTCCACCTGCCCCACTCCTGATTGAGAGTGAGCAGCATTTTGAGATTAAAGAAATTTTGGACTCTAGGAAACATAGGAACCGTATTCAATATCTTGTGGCATGGAAGCATTTCCCTACCTCTCGTGCTCCAATGTACGGGCTCCTCTGCTTCTTCGTAAATTCTACTCTGCCTACCCAGACAAGCCTTGACCTCGATTGACTTCTCTTTTATTTCCCCTTCCCTTTTTCTTCTGTGTTATGTTGTTCGTCTGTTTGTCTGTGTTCTTTCGTTTCTGCAGGGATGATTGTCCCTTTTCTGGAGGAGGGCCAGATGTCAGCCTCTGTTTTGCTGCTTGCTTTCGGCTGCCATTGAAACGGGGAGGGAGGGCATGGTATTTGGGTGAGGGAAATAATTTGTACAGGAGGACTGTTAATTGGGAGTTGTTCTCACCATGGTTTGCGAATGTGCTTTGCGCATTTTCAGCAAACTGTGTTTTTCTATTGATGTGACTTAGATGAAGTTCAGAGCGCATTTTA